TGATATTTTAGTGCACAATCTCATTCAAGACTATTTCTAGCTCAAGAATATAGATGGATGAAAACCTAGGTAAAGAGTTGGAAAATATCTTTCAATCATAAACCAACACAAAGAGTTAACAATAAAACAAAGTTTTCATCATATATTCATCATAAAAGAGTTTACAAATGAAGGTCATCCCATTTACATACAAAGCTTATGATCATCTACATCTAACCTTGACAAAATGAAGGACTTAGCTACTCATTTTCATGGTAGCTTGAACAAGAAGAAAATGGAGAAGATTAAAGAACATCCACATTGAAGGATTGAAGAAAGATGTGATTCCACTTCTCTTGATTACACAATGAGCAAAACCAAGAAAAACTACTGTTTTTGGAGTTGTAGAACTAGGTTCCAATCTTACAAAAGATGATACTTTCTAAGATATTAAGTTATGATCCCCATAAAGCAATATATAAAGTACAAAAGAAGCTCTGTTTGTGCCCATTCGCTAGGCGAACAGAGGCCTTCTCCAGGCGAACAAAAAGAAACAAGGCACTTCAAAGTGCCTCTAGCAAGCAAACCGCCCTCTGAGATATCGCTCCTTCGCCAGGCGAAGCAAGCATTCGTTGGCTTCACTTGCCAGGCGAATTTCATGCAGGTTTGCTACTAGAATAGCCAAGAGATCTTCGCCATCTCCTTCGCCAGGAGAATGGTAGCGAAGCTTCGCAGGAACCATTGCCAGGCGAACTCCATGCCCTTTTGGTCTGAGAGTTTAATTTGAATTACTCGCTCTGACTCGCCAGGAGAACATTCGCTGGCACTCGCTGAGCTTCGCCAAGCGAATGCTTTGATTTCCAGCTTCTTCTAGCAGTTATGTCTCATCTCTTCCAAGGTGCTCCTACTAGTGTCAATCCTGCACACTAACAACAACATTACAAGCACCATTCACTTGGACCAAAACAAAATGAAACTAAGCAAATCCAACTACTAATTCATACACTACTAGATAAAAACAAGTAAAAATACTACTAATTGGAGATCAAATATATACTATAATTGGGATCTAACAGTTGACTACAAACGTTTATACTCCATGAATGTTAGTGATATGTGTAGGCTCAGAAGAATTTATATTTTCCAATATCACTTTGGTTTGAAAGGCAGGCAAGAAGAAGTTTTATTTAGGGAAAATGAGAGGAACTACTGTTTTCAAAGAGAGGGAATATAGATGTTTTTAAAATACCAGCCAACGAAATAGAGCCCTTCTTGCATAACTGTAATGATCTCAGGGGGGAGAAAATTTCCTTTTTCCTGCTTTTTAAGAAGAACTTTTCACCCACAAAAATGACCCATGTGCCCTGTATCCTTTTGATTCCTATTTTTCTACGAAGTCTGGTCAAATTCTCTATTGTTTGACTTACTTGATATTCACATAAGTGTATGCATACATCAATAACCTTTATATCCTTTTTAGAGCTCCACATGTTGAGCAGGATGGCCCAACATCGTGTCAGACATTCTTCCTTTAGAGCACATATCATTTTCTTCATTCTCATGATTCTCTTTCTCACCCTTGGATGTCTTATAGAAGATATATTATGATATCCTCATATAGCATTTCTCTTTGGATCTTGACCCCTTTATTAATTCTTCATGTTCTTTGTTGGTGATGACACATTCTCCCTTGTTGAAACTTACTTCAAACTTTTTATCACATAATTGAATTATATTGATTAAGTTTGCAGTTAAGCCTTCTACTAGTAACACATTATTAAGCCTGTGCATTCATGACCTGTCTATCTTGCCAATACCTTTAATCCTTCCTTTTCTTCCATCTTCAAATGTTGCATATCCCTGTGAGAATGGTTTGAATTATTCAAAAAATGAATCATCATCTATCATATGCTTAGAACAACCACTATCTAGAACCCATTCATTCATTGAAGATATTCCATCATAAGTTTGGGCTATGAAGGCTTTGACTTCAACCTTGAGTTTCCATACTCTCTGAGCCTTATTATCCTTCCTTTTGGATCTTGGTTTTTCTGTAGGGTTGAGGATCACCATACAATATGAAGCAATAAGGTCTCATGTTCATATATCTTCCACAATGATAGCATCTTCTGTTAGAGTTCATGTTCTTCATTTTATAGTAATATTTATGACTTGCAGGTTGCTGGGGAATGTAGTCTAACATCTGGAACTCACTTCTATTATTAGGAGGAACAAACTTCTTAGGCTAAGTTTTATTCTTCTTGTTCATTGACCTGGGTTCAAACTTTATTCCCTTCATGTTCCTAGACACTTTCCCAACCTCTAATATATCATTTAACATGTTAGACCCATTATTGAACATACGAATAAACACTAACATACTATCTAATTGCGATTTTAACCATGTGTTTTTCTCTTTCAGATCTAACATGTTTGAACTTTATTTCTCTTTTTTCAAAAGTAGAGTACTTATGGTCTTTTTTAGTGTCTCTTCTCTTAAGCAAGATTCATTCCATTCAGTAAGTAATTTTCTGAAGGTTCGACAAGCTTTCTTTGAGTCAAATTTTCTTCATCAGACTCATAGCTAGAACCATATTTTCTTGTGAAATCCTTCACCTTATTTGATCCCTCTCATTTTCTTTCATCATTAGATTTTGGCCAAGCAACATATAACCTTTTTTTTAATTCTTTACAAAATTTGGACATTATCCTATAAAGTGTCCATAACCTTTACATTCAAAGCAATGAGTGCCCTTCCCACTATTGGTTTCTTCTTCATTCCTATATTTTTTATGGGAAATGATGTTGGACCTCTTGTCTATGACATTGGTTCTTCACTTCCTATCCAAGATACTTCAAGGTTTTGTTGAACATTTTCCCAAGAAGAGCAATATCACCTTCCAAGCTCTCTTCTTTGACACTTTGGCTTCCACCATCCTTAGTGTAGGATACAAAGATTATACCTTTGTTTTTATTTTCAGGCCTTTCATTGATGGACATCTCAAAGGTTTGTAGTGAACCAATGAGTTCAACAACCTTTATACTACATAGGTATTGAGCTTCTTCAATAGTAGTTACTTTCATATCAAATATCTTAGGTAATGATCTGAGAATATTTCTGGAAAGCATTTCTTCAAACATATTTTCACCTAAGGAAAAGGATGTGTTGTCAATTTCGTGCAATCTAATATGAAACTCACTCACAATTTCATTTACATTCATCCTCAGGTTCTCAATTTTTTTAGGAGCTGCAACATTGACATACGAACCATGGATGTGCCTTCATGTGCATTTTTCAAAATCTCCCATGCTTATTTAGATTTTGGACATGTGTTGATCAACCTTAATATGTTCTTGACCACACCATGGAAAATCACATTCAATGTCTTGGAGTTCCCCAGGGCTTCATCATCTTTAGCATCAGTCCAATCAACCTATGGTTTTAGGCTGATTATACCATCTTTAGAGGTAATTATTGGGTGTTTTCATCCATTGGTTTCACCTTTCCATGCTTTGTTTCCCAATGATTAGAAAAGTCCACCATCATCACCTTCCAATGCTCGTAATTTGTGCCATCTAAAACAGATGATTTCTTGGTTGAACCTCCATATTTAACTATCTCCATTTTAGCAGAATTTATCTTCTAAGGAGCTCATCCAACAGGCTAGGGTGTCTGCTCTAATGCCAATTAAAATTATGTTCCTCTAGAGGCAGATGTTTAACTCGATACTTCGACAACATGTTTGACAAATTACACCAGAATCAGTACACTAACAAATAATAGATGATGGAGTTAAAAAGCAATAAAGAACATAAACATTTGTCTACCCAGTTCGGTGAAACTAGACATAAATCTGGAGGATTGAGTCCACAACTCATGAAAGAAAATTCAATATTTACAGTTTAGTATGATTAGACTTACAAGCAACAACAAACTCTATGTTATTAAATCCTTTTTCCTAACACTACCCTAGTTTAGTACAATTAGTACAATAAAATATTATTTTGTTTCCATTTGATTCTAATTAGCAGCATTTATTATATCTTAAAGTGAGTTGTCTTGTAGCTAGCACTGGCATTTTTACACTTTTCAAGATTGAAAATTCTTTGTGCATACTAAGCTTTTGTTTTGCTTAAGTCATTTCCGCGTCGTATGGTGGCTGGACAAAATTAGGATAGAGATAAAAAGAATGTTGAATAACTTTTGTCAATATGAGGATCTATTGTTATTATTGGTACGTCTTATTTTAATTTTAAACTTTTTTTTTGTCTGAAGAAGAGTAATAAATAATATTTTTGATGGGATATTAATAGTCTTTTGGTCCCTGTAAGTTAGCTTGTTTTTTATTTTGGCCTCTGACGTTAAAGTTCTGTTAAATAGAGCCAATGTGGCGAACGACGCTGACGTGACAATTGTTTTTTTTTATATTTTTTCTTCTGAAACTAATTAATTATCTTAAATATATAATTAATTTGATTGGCGCCACGTGACAATTGAAAATTTAACAAAATAGTTTTTTTTTACATATTGTGGGATTCAAACCCTCCCTCTTTGGTTAAAACACCATTGCCTTTATCATTCATCCATCACCTACCTTTGTTTAATATATGCACCAAAATGTATATATTTAAAACTTGATGTTTAAAATTGATTTCTGCAACCTGTAGTACCTGAAGGTTGCACAAGATTAGATTTCCTTTATCTTCATAGATTTGTATGGATTTAAGTGTATAAAGTTACCTCATGACTTAAAGTTTATTTCATTGTCAAGTCACAACAAAGAAGGCATATGAAGTAGAAAATTGAGTACTTACTAGTTAAATACTTTAATTTCTAATGTTAGTTAAGAGTTTTTGAGTTGCACCATTAATTTACAATATTTATTGTGAAACCAAGTGAATAAAACACAGTAAGAGAAACCCATAATTAGGAACTAAACCCAAATAAATGAAATAGCAAAAATCCATAAATAGGGACCAAAACCTAAAAAATACAGTAGCAGAAACCCAGAATTAGGGACTTAAAATATTTCATTTTCTAATTGCGCTTGCAAAGCCATATCACTCTTCGACTTTCCTGCAGCTCTCTCAGTCATCCTTTGTTCATGAGACTCAAGCATCCTTTGAAACTCTTCCTTCGTCAATGTTGACAAGTCTTTCGACTCTTCTATGGCTACTACCACATGGTCGAACTTTGGAGCCAAGGACCTCAAGATCTTTGCAACAAATGATCTTGATGTCAACACTCCTTCACATACCTTGATTAGATTCACCAGCTTTGTAACTCTAGTGAAGAAATCTGTTATACTTTCACTTTCTTCCATATGAAGCAATTCATAGGTTCTTTTGTGAGTTTGTAACCTCACCTCTTTCACCTTCTCTGCGCATTCAAACGAATTTTTAAGAATCTCTCACGCTTCCTTCGCTGATTCTACATCACTAACGCTTCCTTCGTTGATTCTACGCAATCGGTGTTACTCCTTCCTTCACAAGATCTCAAAGATCTTGATAACAGAAAACCATCTTAATCTGTTTGCACTAATTCTCATAATTATCTTTCTTGAGAATTGGAAGGTTTGTCGAAAAGTGACCGTTTGGATTATTCATCGCCATCACGATTTTCCTTCCATGTATTGTAATCGGAGCTCTAGATAGCAGATGTTGGAATTTAGCCACAACCTATGGAGAATTTCACTCAATCAATCTTGATCTCAAGATTGTTTCAACTCATGTAATGATAATAAAAGAAAAGTTTAGAAAGAAAGAAAGTAAATGTTAGAGAAGAAGAAAATGAATACTTTTCTGCAGAGAACTCTTTGTCCACAAACTATAGAAATTATGTTATTTCACTTGCAACTACAAACTGTGAATTATAAAATATGATGAGATGAGATGAGATGTTTACAAAATAAGAGTTTCTCCCTATTTATAGATTTAGGTTAGCTTGCACTCCAAGTCAAAACTCAAATTATAAAAGCTCAAAAATATCTAATACAATATTTCTAAATCAAATCTGATCTTTCTAAATCAAATCCAATCTTTTTAAAACAATGAATTACATATTTAACATTTCAAGAATCAAAAAGACTATTTAAATATTAAATAATTAAAAATATAAAAAAAATCATAATTAATTATTCATTACTATTATAAAAGCAACTTATAATATGATATTCTTATTTTTTCTCTAAAGCGACATATGATAAATAAAAGTGAGGGGGTACTATTTTGTCTCTTTAAGTCTTTATTGTTTTGTTTTACTAGGAAAACATTTGTTTAGGTTTAAAATGGTGATCATCTATAGAGAATATAATTTTAGTTCTTATAAATTACAATACACATGACTAATTTTGAGTTTTCTTTTAAATGATTCAATATTCATAATTTATTCATACTTTATGTAGTTTTAGCTATGGACAACGCAGTAGGGAAAGGTGAAAACCATTACAGAAAAAAAAATTAACCTTTGACAGACAACCAAAATGGAAACATTAAAGATAAAACATATAATACCTCTTCGAGTTTATTTTCCACTCATGATCCTGAACACTCAACAGAGCAAAAGAGTGGTGGTATAAGAATTTTACAAATTTATTCATGTTATAATTTTGTTGGAAATTTAACAACAGGTTGTATGGTTATGAGAGAAAAAAAAATATAAAGAATATTGTCCTATTTTTTCTGTATTAATTTTTTTTTATATTCATTTGTTATTCCCGTAACTTCTAATAATAAGTGGGTGTAATAATTTCTATAGGTAGCTTTATGATTGTCCATTTTCTTCTTACTTGTATTTTATAAATAGGACACACTAAAATATGTTATGTTTACACCAAATCTTACATTAATACATATACTCGTCCTTGGTCACCATATTTATATAATTATATTATGAATAGTGTTTCTTTCAGTAAAATATAATATTTATAAAAAATATTTTTATTTTTAAATTTTTTTAACATACATATACAATTCGTCATTAATCAATTTTATTATTATATTAACTATAAAAATATAGTTGTTAATTATTTATTTTACTGATAATTTATTAACCAAATTTACTAATTAATTAATCAATAAAATATATTATATCAATCAAGTTCTGACATTAAATTATAAAATATAATATTTATTTTTAAACTCTATTAACCAAGTTTTAATATTAAATTATAAAATAAATTAAATAAAAATCTGATATTAAAATATGAAATATAACAAATAAAATTGATTAATGAAGTATAAAAATTGGATATTATAAATTTTAATATTAGAACTTGGTTAGTATTATTAATTTTATTGATTAATAAAGTAGTAAATTTGATTAATAAGTAATAAATAAAATATATAATTAATAATATATATTTTGTAATAAATACAATAATAATAGTTAATCATAAATCTCATATTTATATTATAAAAAATATTTTTCAGTATTATTTTTTATTTAAATAAATTAAAATAAAAAATATTATTTATCGTATAAATACAATAAACATTTAGATGCAAGTAATAATGTAAAAGATTATGTAAGAATATTATTATTTCAAATATATCTGTATAATATAGTTCCGGTGTGGGCCTCACCTCGGCAGGCCCAATACCAAATACGGCCCAACAGGCGAACTGAGCACACCTGGCACACGCCCCTTCGGACGAGCAGGACCGTCCGCCGGGCACAAGCCATCACGCCGCATCCCCTTCGTCGTCCGTCACACCAGACGAGCGAGACTACCCGGGCTCCCTCCGCGGGAGAATAACGTGCTCGGCGCACGTTCTCCACGTGCTCCCCTCCGCGGGGACACGTCATCGGCCAACCGCCCACCTCCGAAAGAGCAGGTCAAACCCACTTTCCGGAGACCTAGGAGCGGTTGAACTAGGGCGAAGACCACGTCCTGGTCTTCACTACGCCACGTAAGCCCTAGCAGTCATTAGGGTTGGGCCTGGTCGTCTGGCCCACCTCGAATGACCGTTGGCCCAGCGCTGGGGTCTCTCTATAAATACCCTCTTCTTCAAGAGGGTCAGGTAACTCTTCTTGCCCCCTTTTCTGTACTATTGCTTCCTCTCTGTCCAACTTCTTACTTGGGCGTCGGAGTGCTTTGCAGGTACACCCCCTCCTCGTTCTTACCTCGGCGAACAGATAACCGTCCGGCGAAGCGTGGCCAGTCCGTGATCCCTCCTGATCAGGTCAGATCAAATATTATTATTTCAAATATATCTGTATAATATACTTTCATTTATATAATAAATTTTTATGATCTATATTTCTATTACCTTGCTCTTTAAGTTTATTTACATGAATATATGTGTAAATATAAATTATTTTATTTCAATAATATATATATATATATATATATATATATATATATATATATATATATATATATATATATATATATATATATATATATATATATATATATATATATATATATATATATATATATATATATATATATATATATATATATATATATATATATATATATATATATAACAGACATGAATTATTTCTATTTGTATATAAATAAATTTATTAATATTTAAAAATCAACAAATTTTTAACAGCTTATAAGAATACAAATATTATTACAGTAAAAATAAAATCATATGCGTAGAGAAAGCATAGTTAATATTTAAACGAATAATCACCCCGGAAATACTGACACAAACCATCGATGCACCTTGCATCCCAACTCCCTGCCAATTGTTTTGGACAATCATTGTCTGTCTTGCAGGCATAGTCAGTTTTTACAATGTTATCTAAGAAAAAAGAAACACTATTATAAAATGGTAAAATATTGTATATTCAATAAATTAGAAAATCTAAAAATGGTGTGATAACTAACATACCTTCACGTGTTTTAACAAGAAATAGAAAAAGAAAGATGGCCAATGCATAAACAAACAATAGAACACGAGCCATATTTTTTTCTTCTTTGCATACAATAAAATAAAACTTTTATCCTTTTATAAGTAATAGTTTCATTCTTTGTTAACTTAAATTAATTTTTTTTAACACTAAGGTGTTGCAAAAAGACATTTATAAAAATTAAATGAATGCTAAATACCTCTCTCTACTTAATATGCGCCGTGTATCTCTTTATCTCACTCAATTGATCACTTAAAATATTGATGATCAATATTGTGTATTATTTTTTTAAAAATTAAATTTTAATAAATATCTACGAAGTCTTTTCTAGTATGATTTGAAACATTTTATAATGTATGTTTTTATAGACAATGTTGATTACAACTCAACTAAACAAACCATTTATGTCAAATTACTAAAACATAGAGATGTACATAAAGATTTTACACTAATCTTATTAGGGCATTAGCGAGGAATACACGATATAAAATTCAACACTAAAATCTTCAGAGAATGCTTGCTTTGCAATAGGTTTGAGTTCCTTAAATAACAATGTAACTCTGAGCTTTTCTCCTTAGATAATATCTTTGAATTCGTTTGGAATTAATGCAGAATTTGTTGGGTATTTGATTTTTTTTCTTTAATATCTCCAACAATATATGATTTATTTAAATTTAAATTTAAATTCAAATTCAAATATTTATTTAAGTTCAAATTAATCTTCATCCAGTTGACAAACTAATCACCTAATCATATTATTGAAGCAATAACAATAAAATTTTTAACAAATCTTTTGCTGAACATACTCTAAAATGCAACATTCTGGAAATTGTTGCACAAGGACCATATGTCGTACCAACATGGTGGATCATCGTGCCCAACATGTGTCCCTTCAGCAGCTTCATACAAATTTATCAAGCTAGACCAATCTTAAATACTTGGACACTTCTCCAAGTTGTTGTTTTGATAAAATGCAACCAATCCAAATGGCCAATCCAATAGGAACAACATTTTTAAATAATTTTAAAATTACCCCTATTACTCCTTTTATTCTCTCAAATTTGGATTGAGTTTTATTTTATTGTCATGACAATAAGAGCCTAGGTCCTAATGGTTTCAAACTTTCCTTTAAGAGAAAATTCTAGAGCATGTTGAGAGATAATTTGATGATTATGTTTGATTAGTTCCATAGATATGCATCGTTATTTGAATCCTTTACCTTCTATTTGGTGATCCTAATCCCCAAGATTAAGTCCTATTTTCATTCAGGAAACTTATATCCAGTTTCCCTAATGGGATCTTTATATAAGTTGTTAGAAATGTTTTGGCTTCTAGAATATGGAGTGTGCTGGATAAACATATTTCCCCTAACCAATAACTTGAGATCTTGGATGAGAGTTTGTGTTTTTATTAAAATTATTGTGGTGTTGGCAAACAGTTTCCCAACCCAAGAGA